CATAAGTATAAATTCAGTTTTGAAATTATGTCCCAAGAATTTACCCAGTTGGCAATTTGTTAAATATTGATGTGAAACTTGGAAGACAATCTATTGAGTATATACAAAGTTGGGAAGGTACTGACATATAGATGACATTAAATACAATGAAATTACATGATTTCAACTAGGAAGAGAATGTAGAAGTGATAAGAGAAGTCAGTGGATCAACATATATGACCATTTATGCATGCATATTTATAGTGTACTATATTCAGGCCAATTTTTTAGTTTTTTTTGTGTGTCAACTTAACTAAGCTGAAACTAGGTTTCTCTGAATTCCTTTCCTATATAGTTCCAGGTTAGCTTAGTTCACAAGCGATACTTTTTCATGATATTTGGAAGATGAGAGTAAAGCAGCAACCATATTTTATTAGACATGGAAGGTTGGTGAAGAACATGAGCCACATTGCAACTTAGGTCTGTTGCCACTCATGTTGTTGGCTGGGGAAACAGCCAGGCCCACAGTTCCCTCGGTTCCAGTCAGTTTTCTCCTTCAGCTTCTTCAATTCTTCAATCAGATGATGACTTAGATCCAGGTATAACTTTAACATTAGCTCCTCTGTAGAACACACCCCCTCCAAAACTGGAAGTGTAGCAACAGTGAGAGACTGGAATGAGTTTAGTCCAGTCTTTTGGCTTTTAGCTGATTCATACAGGTTTTAGCTTGCCTTGCTTCCCTCCTATCAAGTCTGTTTTCACTCACCTCTTACTTACCCTGTGAACTGCAGGCTCCAGTCATAGACAAAGAAGCACCAGTCTCACACAGACCGTTGAAACAGCTTCCAGAGAATTCTGTTTCTCTGATCAAATTCTGAATGATACAGGTAGAAACAATCTCATTCCATTTCTATGGTAATGCTACTGTAACCCTAAGAAGAGCCAAATGATTTCGATGAGCTACATAAGACACAGTTGTGTACTGTACCAGTCATTAAACAATTATTTATCAACTTTAATTTCACCCATCCATACTTTGTCTCTATGATTTCAGGTTTGGAATTCTGTAAACCCTACTTTTCCTTGGTTGGCTAGCTGATTAGATTTTGCCAGTAAGGGCTAAAATAAGTGCAGTGGCACATCATATGTGTATGGTGATGAGAAGGGATATTAATTTAGGCAGTGATGGTAATGGTAGCAAATTCTAAAGTGAGAATGTGCCTAGCAAGTAAGAGGAAAACTTGATGGGGTTTCAAACTGGAGAGGTATAGCCCAGGAGACAGTTCCTTTAGGTCCAAAGCAAACCTGTGTAGAACCTGTGGGCCATAGCAGACACCAGCTAACATGTAACTTGTGTATAATGACCAATATGCATATGGAAGGATACTTAACGAATTTATGAAGAAAACACTTAAGGTGATTTTGTTTTTGGCTTTATAAATCAACATGATTAGTTATATATCACATTGGTGAAACTATAGAAACATGGGCCCTGTCACTTTCTGCTCACAGAGGTACCCATTTGGACAATTTTGTTAACGATCTTTTACATAGAAGAGTTAAAATTTAATGCTTTTGACTCTGTTATTTCTGTTCTGAGAGGTTATTCCAATAATTTAATAAGACAGAAACTTAAAGTTATATGTACAAGGAAATTTTTCTTACAGAAATTCTTAAGATAACAAATTTAGAAATTATCTAAAGTCATAAAATAAATTATAGTATATCTATTAAAAGGAATATTGAGTAGCTATTAAATGTGGAAACAATGCATGGCAGAGACAGAAAGTTAACATCCAATATTGTTTTTTTCATTTCCTAATAGAATCCCCAATATTTAGCTAGTCATGTGGTAATGTGTAATGAATATATCACTTTTCATCTCAGTGCTAAGATGTTACTAAATTCTTGCACTGTTACTAAATTCTGGTTAATTGCTTATAAGTATAAATGATTCCCTGAAAGGGAGGGTAAATTTTTTTTTCTCTCTTTCTTCTTGTTGGCTGGAATGTGCTTTTAATAGTAGTAATGACTCTAGTAGTAGTAATGACTGTAGTACTAATGACTCAAGTTCCAGTAGCCACCTTGAACCAAAAGGGACCTTTGAAAGGCAGGCACTCACGGAGGAGTGACAAAAAGGACAGCTGGTGGCATTGGGCAGGTGGAACAGAGAGGAGATGAGAAAGTTCAGAAAATCATGTAAATGTGGCACCCTCAAGTTATGCCATAGATTATCATCCCCAAGACTTTAAATTATTCCATTTATGTCACTGATTCTTCACATATCTGTTACTCAATGTAATCCTAGATGATTATTTTTAAGAAAAATTAAAAAGCAGGTCAAGGAGTGGCTTGTACAGTATGCCTCTAAATATATATTTGTTTGTATGTGAGGAGAAAGGGAAAGACAGAAAGGTAAAAATGAGAAAACATAAGGCATCTTGTGGAACATAGATGATTTTCACTTCTCTCTTTATAATTTTCAGTTCTATTTGAATATTTTTACATAATTGCCAATGTTCTCAAGATAAAAACAAAATAAAGAGTTTTTTAGTTTTGAATAACTAAGCTTTCATCTAGATGAAAAGTTAAAATAATTACTACAAATGTGCAAACATATGTTGGTAATTAATTTAAAAATTTTACATCATTTTGATAGTTTTTAATAGTAACTATTAAGTATTAACCTTATGCTGGCTCTTATATGTGCTTATAGGTTAACTTGTAGGTGAAGTCAGGTATAAAACATGTTCAAGTATTCTTGGTTTATTAAAAAATATTTTTAGTTCAGTAAAAACACTGTATTATTAAAAATATCCTATGAAATAGTGAAAAGCAAATCAAGCTAGATGAGAATCCTGTCTACAAATATAAATATGGGATTTCAAAATCAAGCATTAGTAAAATTATTTTAATTATAAAACAAATAAATAATCCTACATAACAAAGATGTTACACTAAGAAAGCAATCACTGCTTTGTATTAGACCACTGGCTAATATAATCATATCAGTATTCCAGATACAAAGATTATACTTTCCATTTCTTCTATCTCTTCTACATGAAGACCTCAAATAACACTGAGAAGACGAATCATATGAAAAACAGCAATGTAATTATACATTTCATTATTATAAATACTAGTTAAAAATCAACAGGATATATATTTAATGAGAAAACTGTAAGCATTCCTATTAAGATAATAATTAAGAATACTCACTATCATTATTTTAATTGGCTATTATCTAGACATATAGTAAATATAAAACTTTATGAAAATAAAATAAAAACGGTGGATATTGGTGAGAAAGCAACACATCTAGAATTTGTGGATAATAAAATTTTATGTATATAATTTTCAAAGGATAAAACAAAAAATTCTCTAGATCCATGAATTGAATGTTTAATAAAGCTGCTAATATGGATATATAATTTGATATTTACATATACTGTATATATATATATATGTGTATATTATATATATAAATATTTACATAGTGATATGATTTGGCTGTGTCCCCACCTAAGTCTCATCTTGAGTTGTAACTTCCACAATTCTCATGTGTTGTGGGAGGAACCTGGTAGGACGTGATTAAATCATGGGGGCAGGTCTTTCCCGTGCTGTTTTCATGATATTGAATGAGTTTCACGAAATCTGATGGTTTTATAAAGAGGAGTTCCCCTGCAAATCTTTGCCTGCCTGCATCCATGTAAGATGTGACTTGCTCCTCCTTACTTTCTGCCATGATTGTGAGGCCTCCCCACCCATGTGGAACTGTAAGTCCATTAAACCTCTTTCTGTTGTTAATTGCCCAGTCTCAGCTATGTCTTTATCAGCAACTTGAAAATAGACACATGTATATAAATATATACATATATTTATATATATTTAAGAATCAAGGAAATCTGTAAATTATTTTTCTTTACAGCCACAGTAATGATTAGTTAGAAATGTTGGAGGAAAAACATTCTTATTCAAAATAGCAACAAGATACGAAATGTCTAGATATATCCTGATTCAGAAATTTGAGGATATTATACAAAGAAAAATATAAACATTTGCTCAAAAATTAAAAATATGCATGACAATGAATTTGAAAAACATAGTTCTAGATAATCAAGACTACACATTACGTTACGGTGTACACTGCTTGGGTAATGGGTGCACAAAACCTCATAAATCACCATGAAATAACTTATTTATGTAACCAAACACCACCTGTTCCCCAAAACCCTATGGAAATAAACAAAAATAAAATAAAGCAAATGAATATTGAAATCAACATCTAAAAGGAGAAAGTTACCATAGTATGTACTATATATACCTGATTAATATTATAAAATTAAAAGTTATGTTTAGGACATTTTTATTGCTAGTAGTAATGTTATAAAAATATAATAAAAAGAACGCAAAATTGGATATGCAAAATAAATAGTCATATTATTTTTGTGTACTAATTGTTTCTTAGATACAACTTATTACATCCCAAGACTATCAGTATCATCTCTAACTTACAATATTGCACTAGCATTTAACCTGTCCTCATATATCCACTCTTGCTGTACTACAGTCTATTCCCCACAAAACCTCCAGAGTGATCTTTAATAACAAAGATCTTATCATTTAATTGCTTAAAGCCCAGTAGAATTTCCTATTACTTCTAGTATGAAGGACCATATAAGGCCTCAGATGTTTCAGTGCCTGCCTCATTCTCCAGCCTCCCCACTGGCATCTCCCCTGATGCAGTGTTCCAGCCTCCCAGTCCTCTCTCCTAAGCTCCTTTTTATTTGTAAGTTCTCCATACACACTGCCTTTCCTGCCTAAAATGCTCCTCTCTTACCTTTGATTTGTTAACAACTTCGCTTTTCAAATGTGAACACACATTTTTCTTTAAATAACTTGAGTTTTTATGAATCATTTAAAAAAGTTTGACAATGATTATTTTTTCTTTTTTATGCTTTTTAATATGTATTTTTTCTTCTATAAGCATGACATTTTATGAGAAAATGAGAAAACAAGCACAACTTTATAAACAAATTTATTAAGCCTTAATTTAGCAAAAACATGAGATTGATTTTAGTGTGGTATTTGCAAAAGGTGGACAGCTAAGCAGTTTGGAATAAAAATATTCTTAATCAAAAATTGACCTCTTCAAGTAGCAGATTCATAGACACCACAATGCCTTCATTTTCCTAGAGAAAGTAGAGAGAAAAGAACATGAGTAATCTGGCTATTAGAGGTGAGATATAAATATAACTAATCTCTACTGTGAGAAATACCTTCACAAAAAGGCTATGGACCTGTCATCCCCAAATGGGAAGATCTCTACTAGAGTCTCATTGCCTCAGCACAGATTTAACAGCTAGTCAGACATATGGTATAGGAAAGCCTCATCACAAGCAGAGGAGAATGTGACTCCGAAAAACTGACTTTTGGGTAAAGAGAGACAAACACTGGCTGTGCATCACATTTTCAATGACTTTATTTTCTGCATGCATCAGAATCTAATATTCCCTACTTGCTGAGTAGTTCCTTGAGAGAAATTATAAATGAAGGGTTTTCTAGCTGAATTCTATTGGGCTGCCATTATACAACCATGATACTATGGCTGTTGATGTATAAAACCAGGGTTTTACGGGGGTTGCTAAGAAAAGGGAAATAACATGAGCCTCTATAACTAGTGGGCAGCTGACAGGCCATCATTGTTCTACATTCTATCCAGACTTCTGAATAGACTGAGCAGGGAGCGCTCAAATTCACTCTTGGGAGATCCCCCTCCAGTCTGCCTTCTTCTTTCCCTTAAACTATAACTTTCTCAAAGTATAGCCATAAAGAACAGAAAAACTGACGCCACTCACCAGCCATGGCTGCTCCTGCTTCCTGGACGGGAAAAAGCGAGTGAAAACTAAAGCAATTTCAACAGGCTTGCTTTCCTCTTAGTGGACCAGCTTGTTGATACTACCCTAAATGGAAAACTCCAGGTCCTCAAATTCTCCTTTTCTTTGCCAAGATACAATTAGACTCCTGATCTAATGTACGACTGCTTCCCTTTGGAAAATAGGAAACAGAGGGTGTGTTTTCTTTGTGATATAACAAAGTGATCAGAATGAAAACATGCACACTCTCACGAGAACAAGTCTCTGTGCTCTGTTTTTCCTTTTAACACTGTTAATAAATCACATTAAACCTCTGTTTGTCTCTCTGCTGCCATCAGCCTCTAAATGGTCAGGAGTCTTTACTTCACTGATACTTAACCTCGGAAGTGTGAATTTGGAAGATAAGGGAAAGAAGCTGACTGAGGATTGCTAAGCTGTGATACTCCCTTCACTATTTGATAAACCCACACAAATGATCTCTTTTCTTCTGTCTTTCCTGATCCACTAGTTTTTAAATTGGGATGTTGTTTATCCATGAGATGAAAGTATTTTTGTTCATTAAATGAACAAAATATTCTTTCACTTATTTTTGAGATAGATATATATGTGCAATTAAAATCGAACAATAGAAAAATTTATAAAAATGGGAAAAGATCATCTAAGTTCTTTAATTTCACATGACAAGGTAACTACAATTATATGTTAACTTGCATCTTTGTGTAATTTTCTCTATAATTTTATAAAACATTTAATACAAAAATGATATTATCCATGGCTCTAATCATTGGCCTCCTAGCATTTTTGGCCTTTATGTTAGTTCTGAACTGGCCATATTAGTTGGTTTTGGCCAGCGTAATGCAGTAGAGGGATCTGATGCAGTTTCCAGCCTGAGTTTTACAAATCCATTTACAAATCCTTTTGCCCTTCTCCCTCTTGAACACCTGAAGCTAAATGAGGATGGGCCTGGGCTGGATTGCTAGCTGATTAAAGTCATCATGTGGAGAAGAGCCCAGTTATCCCAGCCAAGGCCATGCTAGACCAGCCTCCAGCCAAGTGTTTTCCCAACATATGAGATATCCCAGCCTTGTCAGCAGAAAGGCCTACGCTACACACAGATGATGTCAGACACAATGCCAGCAGTGATGAAAAGAAACGTTCAGCCAACTGGCCACCTCATGAACAATATAAATGCTTCTTGTGTGAAGCCACTGAGTTTTTGGGTGTTTTGATACTGAACAATAGATAACTAACAGGCCTGTAATTACCCGCAGAATTTTTTTTCCTATAGTGGTATTATCTTAGTTATATTATTGATAATTTGCTTTATTTAACTTCACAATGTCTGACAAACATTTTTTAAAAATCAACACATGCAACATTATCTGATTTTTGATGGCTGTATAGTATTTAATGTGTTGATAGATTATATTTTTAAAATGTTTTGAGCGGGTGCAGTGGCTCACACCTGCAATCCTAGCACTTTGAGAGGGTGAGGGAGGCAGATCACATGAAGTCAGGATTTTGAGACTTGCCTGGCCAACATGGTGAAACCCGGTCTCTACTAAAAATAAAACATTAGTCAGGTGTGGTGGCATGCGCCTGTAGTCCCAGCTACTCGGGAGGCTGAGGCAGGAGAATTGCTTAAACCTGGGAGACGGAGGTTGTCATGAGCCAAGATCGGGCCACTGCATCCAGCCTGGGTAACAGAGTGAGACTCCATCCCCTCCCAAAAAAAAAAGTTTTGTCAAAGTAATAACATTCACAAGGCAGCTTATCCAGTAGTACAGAAAAGGCAACAACAAAAATCAGATTTTTATGATTTTTTACTTTGCTCCCATAAACTACGTGTAATTTCCCTAAGTTATTTGCTTTTTTTTGGTGGCAATCTTTGCAACTCCCAATAATGTCTGTTTTATCTATTTCATGATGTATAGATTACAAACAATGCTCTTAGCTGTCTCACATGGAAAATGAAATGCAGCTCATTCACACTGCCAAATCTCTCCCTCTCCTATTCTAATATTTAATCATAGTGTGATTTCCTATTATTTCCTTGATTCATTTTGAAATAATAAATAATATACTTAACTCTCATTTCTTCTTTCATCAGTTTTGCATAGTACCTTAATTCTCCTCTGTGTAAGTTGATCGGAGTTTCCCTCGTGCAATTTATTTCATCTTTTCTCACCTCCAATTACACCATTTTTTCCCAATTTCCTATTGTGGTAAAAATATATACCACAAAATTGACCATCTTAACATTTTTAAATGTAGCATTCAGTGATACTAACTACATTCATAATGTTATAACAGTCACCGCCATCTATCTCCAGAATTCCTCTTTATCTTGTAAAGCTGAAATTCTATATGATTAAGTAATAACTCCCTATTTCTTCCTCCCCACTGCCCCTGACCATCACCATTCTACTTTCTGTCTCTGAATTTGATACCCTAGGTACTTCATTTAAGTGAAATCATACGGTATGTGGTATGTGTTTTTCTGTTGCTGCCTACTTTGACATGGCATAATGTTGTCAAGGTTCATCCATATTGTAACAAATGCCAGAATTTTCTTCCTTTTTAAGGCTGAATATAATTCCATTTTGTGTATATACCACATTTTGCTTATCCATTTATCAGTTATTGGATAGTCCCACATTTTAGATATTATGAACAATGCTGCTGTGAATGTAGGTATATAAATATATATTTGAAACCCTGCTTTCAGTTACTTTAGGATGTACCTATAGGTGGAATTTCTGGAGCATATGGTAACTCTAATTCTAATTGTATGAGGCACTACCATACTGTTTTCCAAGGTGCCTGTACGATTTGAAATTCTCACCAACACATCACAGGGTTCCAATTATTCTACATCCCTGAAAACACTTGTTATTTTCTGGGTTTTTTGTTTGCTTGTTTTGGGGTCATTCAAATAGGTATGAGGCAGTATCTCACTATAGTTTTAGGCACCACCCTCTTTCATCCTATTGTTGGGGGTAAGTCATAGTCAGTTTTCTTCATCAGCCAAGTATAGATATTACATGAGCCATATAGCTCGAAAATCCAGTTAGCCTCCTCCACTTCATTTCTATTCACCCACCATTTTCATTGAAATTATATTCTTTGTTAGAAAACGATACAGTTCATTTTGTCTTCACTTTTATTGAAACATAAAATGTTAAATATGCAAGCTGTACTAATAAAGGTGCTCCTTGAAGTTGATAAAGGAGGGCTTGGTTACTTGTGGCTTCCTGCAGGGGAGAGAAAGAACAGAAGGTCAAGATGGTTACCCCTTGCTGCCTTCCTCTCATCCCTCATCATGATTCTTTTTCCAACCTCTTCTATGTGCTCTAGCCACTTCCCTTGACTTCCATCTGTGACCTCTTAGCCTATTCACCAACATGTGATCTTTGTAAAACCTAATTTAAAGCATATTAATTCTCTTTTCTAAAGCACTAGAAAGGCTTCCTGTCTCACCTAGATAATAATTTTTAAAGATTTACCCTGTGATAGACAAGAACTATGAGATCTGGCTTCTCACTGCTTCTCCTAATATGTCTCTGCCATTTTCCCCACTCACTTTCTCTTTCGGTCACACTCATTGCAGTTCTTTAAACATGTTTAGTGCATTTCTATCCCCAGGGCATTTGCACTTGCTATATTCTGTGCTATGACACTTTTCCTGCATAAGAATCACATGGTTCACTCCCCAACTCTGTCCATTCTTTGTTCTGATTTCATTATTTCAAGGAAGGCCTTCCCCAGTGAAATATGTCTACGAGTACAGCATCCATCATTCTGTGTTTACCTTTGTCTTCCTTTATTTTTCCTTTTATCTTTTTTTGCTCTCTGGCCTTTGATATATTTACCTGTTTATGTATTCACTCTGTTTCAACTCACTAGACTATAAGCTTTCTGAGTTAAGAAATCTATTTACTTTGTTAATTGGCATATTCCAAGCATCTAGAACAGAACCTGGTGCATGGTTAGTGTTGGCAAGTATTATTCAACAAACAATTCAATGTCCAAATGTAGCTCCATTGGATGGATTAGGCACTGGAAGCTGTTATGCTAAAATGATGCAATTTTTTGACTGGATTGTCAGAAACCAAGAGTAAAAAAGTAAACATTGGATTGTCAGAAACCAAGAGAGTAAAAAAATATGTGGTGAATATTGGAAGTATTGAGATCAACTTTATACATTTTACTATAAAATATAATTTTAAGTGTGTATCTGAAAGGGATATTGATAATAGGCTTATAATATAGTATTAAATAAAGCTATTATGAGTGAAGAAAGTAACCATTTGGTCCTGACTTAATGTACCCAATCTATAACATTTTAATCAAAATAATAAACAAAGTTACATGGGAGCTTGAAGGAACGTCTGGAGTGTGATTGAGGATTTGAAAGCAGACTCTGAGTGACTGGTGATCTGCATTGTGAGAACAGTCTGAGAACCAGAGACTGAATCAATACAAATTCTACCTTATAGGATGTATTTTGTACTATCTCGTAATGGTAGCTGAATGTCAGTAATGTGGTATTTGCTGTGATATTTTTACTCAGAGGATCAAAGTGCTGCTTTCTCCAAAGTTAGCTCCTTTATTTACTCTATTTTGTTCAGGGTTCGATGCAATGTTTGGTTACTTAGTGAGAGTGTGTGTGTGTGTGTGTGTGTGTGTGTGTGTGTGTGTGTGTAAGAAAGGAAGAAAAAAATAGAGTATGAGAGGTAAATGAATATAAATAGTAATGGAAGCATTAGAATGTTTCTATTTTAATAATTGTTACCCTTGGTTTTTCATTATCACATTCTGCCATGATTTTCCTTACCTCCTTGATTGATTAATTGACTGATTATTTGTATAGTTGGGGG